TAGGACAGATATACATTGTATAAGTACATCTTTCTTGTGATTTTCATTTCATTCACACTGTTTCGTGCTGTTACTTAATGTTTCTTGAAAAATTGAATTATTCAAATGAATTAAAATATGAATGCAAGCTTTTCAAAGTTCGTTTCACACTTACTGTCTGCTTCAGTCCACTGTTGCTCCCACAGTCCCACTGTCCTTTCATGGCCCAAAACGGGTCATCTACAATCAAACCACTTTGGGAGTCACAGCATTTTATGTTCTATTTGCAATCTTGGCTGTGAATCTGTCTCAGTATGTGCTGATGTGCCAGCATAGACTAAAAAATATAAATGAAAACACAGACTTACTTTGCTCTGCTTTAAGCTGTAGCTCAGCTACAGCCGCTTTTCTCGCATCTCCAGCAGGAAACTTTTCCTCAAAAGTAGAACAGTTTCTTGTAAAATGTCTCTCAACTTTCAACTTTTTGTGAGGCTTAAGTCGCTTCTCATTCACCAGCTTCTCATTGAATTTTCCAGAAATGAAACCTCTACACCATTTAAGGTGGAACGGGAAAATTCGAACGAGAAGCTGGAGAGAAACTGACTTCAGTTTCGTGACTTTTTAGTGTTTCAGTTTCTTGTTGCAGATTAAACGTATCAGGAAACCAGCTGGAGTGAATGTAAACGCAGATAGGTCCATTTGTCTCCAAATTATCGATGTTGGTCTTAAATCTCTCACTTTGTCTTATCTTTCTAAACTAGCTAGGCAAGACTGTTGTCTGTGTTGCTATGGTGACCAGCAGTCTGTGCTGATCTTCAGGGTTAAAGGAGGATAATTTTATTTTTACCTACAAAGCTAATTCAGCTGTGGAGCCGCAACAGGACAGTAGCCAACAATTCGCCATATTCTAATAACAAAACCTCACAGATTTGACTATAAAGTGAGTATCTGTGTGATTGTCAGTTAACAGCATGTATGTCATTTGCCATGGAACACATGAACAAGTCCAGTACAACACCAGAGCTGAGCTTATCACTCGTGAACCTGTGCACTACACAGTTCAGTCATCCCTCTAAAGAGATAATTAATGCTCAGATTGATTACTGGCTTATCACATTGATTTATCAGTCTACTCAGGCTTTAGCCATTTTTGTAAAGAAGCCATTTTTTTATTACTTCTTTAGAGTAAGTGTTTACATGCTTTGTGAGTTGGGCAGTTAGCGCCTGTTAGCTCATATACAGAGTTGGGCCGTTAGTGCCTGTTAGCTCATATACAGAGTTGGCCAGTTAGCGCCTGTTAGCTCATATACAGAGTTGGGCAGTTAGCGCCTGTTAGCTCATATACAGAGTTGGGCAGTTAGCGCCTGTTAGCTCATATACAGAGTTGGGCAGTTAGTGCCTGTTAGCTCATATACAGAGTTGGGCCGTTAGCGCCTGTTAGCTCATATACAGAGTTGGGCAGTTAGCGCCTGTTAGCTCATATACAGAGTTGGGCAGTTAGCGTCTGTTAGCTCATATGCAGAGTTGGCCAGTTAGCGCCTGTTAGCTCATGTACAGAGTTGGGCAGTTAGCGCCTGTTAGCTCATATGCAGAGTTGGGCAGTTAGCGCCTGTTAGCTAATATACAGAGTTGGCCAGTTAGCGCCTGTTAGCTCATATGCAGAGTTGGGCAGTTAGCGCCTGTTAGCTCATATACAGAGTTGGCCAGTTAGCGCCTGTTAGCTCATATGCAGAGTTGGGCAGTTAGCGCCTGTTAGCTCATATACAGAGTTGGGCAGTTAGCGCCTGTTAGCTCATATGCAGAGTTGGGCCGTTAGCGCCTGTTAGCTCATATACAGAATTGGGCCGTATAGAGTATCTCTCACATACAGAGTATCTCTCACATACAGAGTATCTCTCACATACAGAGTATCCGAGGGTTTCAGTCACGTGATTTCTCTGTTGTTGCCGCCATATTTGGGACCGAATTTCTGGCTTCGCTGCTCCGCACGAACGTAACTAGAGGTGAAAGATGGCTAAAATTACTCTCCTTACTTTGGAAGAGAAAAAAATGTTACCACAACAAAGTCGATAAAACAGGCTCTGATCCTTATACAGTCCCACTTAAACTGGCGGAAAGTTACCAAATTTATATTTCCCTGCCATTTATATTGATCTCATACTCAGCCCCTCTCCCTATTCTGGGGTCTCTCAAAGCATTTAACAGCACAGAAGCCCACCGGCTCCTCACGTCAGGGTGGGTAAAGGATCCCATGGTGTTCATAAAGAGGAGATGAACTCTGTCATCATAGGAGGGTAACGACATCAGCTAATTAACACAGATGTGAACAATGCAGGCCTTCAGATAACTTTAGCTGATGTTATCAGCTGAGAGATAAACAGTCGCCCCCTAACGGAGCTGCAGACCGCCGGTATAACTTTACTCTCTGTTTCTGATTTAAATGACGTTTGAATGGAGAAACATAAGCGTTAAATATCAGACTGAATGTCGCAGGTCGGAAAACGGCATTGTGTTTCGACAGACGTGATTCTGTAAGTTTGCTAGTTCAGTTAGTTCAGAGTTCAGCTCCAGTCCTGCAACCCCTGCACTGCATTACTGTGGTTTCCTGGTTAAAATACCTGATATTATTAGCTAATTAATCCCTTCTTGAGCTGAATGAGGTGTGAACAGCAGAGAGAAACACTGAACTATACAGTGCAGGGGCAGAACGGTCTCTGTTCTGCATAGCGCCCGTTTGTAGGTTGAGTCATTTTAAAACATAATGGTTGTGGGTAGAACCTCACATAGCGCTTTGTGGCACAGCACGGTATCATATCAGATATCAGTTATGAAATGGGAATGAAAGTGTTGTGGAAACCAGGTGGTTATTTTTCCTCCATGTTCTTTCTGGGCCTTGCACATTATGGTATGATCACACCAAATGACCTAAATGTGTGTTTGCGGGACATCCGTAAATCTGGCCAAAGATGTGGGCAGTATCTTGGACTGTATTTTTGGATGAATGCAGTGATATTTGCTGTTCAGAGATAAAATGATCCAGTTTTTTTCCTGAAGCTTGTTCAGGGTAAGCGAGCCATCTGGTCCAAAAGAAAGACCACCTGTGTAAGACTGCTACATTTTAAGAGCCAAGGAGCTCTTATGAGAATTAAGTGTTTTTATGCTAACCCTTTTCCAACATGGCAGTGAAATACAGTACAGTTCATAAGTATTTGGACAGTAACAGTAATAGTAACTCTTATAGTAATAGTACTCCAGCACACTGGATTTGAAGGTTAAAATGCCATTAAGGGCCATTCAGCACCAGTTATTAATTTTTCAGGAGATCTTTCTGAGGAGATTAGATATAAAATAATTCACTTGCAGAAGGATTGGGAAAAGATTAAAAGCTCCAGAGAAAATGGGCCTCCTAACAACCACCTGGAAGAGCTGGTCGACACCAAAACTGCCCCCCATCAGATAAGCAGCACTTAAAGCTTTCATCTCTGAGAGAGAGGAGAAAATCAAGCTGATCAGATCTGAAAACATCCACAGGTGTTTCTGTCCATCCTTCCACTGTGAGAAGACGACTCAGCGCTGTGGGTCTGAAAGGATGTGTAGCTGATCAAGAAGAACCTCACTGAGAAAAGGAGACGGACACATCAAACAAAGAAGCTGAACGATGGACTGACCGCTCCAGAGTCCAGACCTCAACACCACTGAATGTGTTTGATTACTTCAGAAAATGATCAACCAGCTTCTAAGACTGAACTTTGGAGGTGTGTCTGCAGATTCTTTGAGGAACTGAAAGTGAGTCTCCTGAAGAGAATGGAAGCTGGAATAAAGGCAAACACTGAAAAAATGATACTGAGTTTTCCAGGTTTCTGTGTAATTTTCTGTTAATGTTTTCTTTTTTCCTGATTCTGAAAAATGAATAACTTGTACTAAATGTCTGATTTGAATGTAAATTAAAATAAACCAATGGTGGTCTCTGACATCGCACAGTACTGTAAATAGGAATCACATCACTTTATGGTTAGAGCACAGATTTAGGAGACCAAGCAATTGGACAAGTTCGTGTAATCTTCAATTAAATTGTAAAGGCCAGTATTTGGTTGCAGATCCTCTGCACAGACATCTCGAATATGGTCTGTTTTTTGTCGCTGTACTAAGCTTGTAATGAAGTCTGTTTCACTTCCTGCTTGTTTCAGGTGGTGTTTACCTTCTCAGGTAGAGATCTGCTGCTCAGTGGGTACAGGTTGGGTGACTGATCTGGCCCACCAGGAACTCTTGTCCCTGAAAAACTCCATAGTTGCTAATCAGTGCGGCTGGGGTGGTTGTGGACGAAGCTTCATCTTGCTTGATACCTTTAGAATTTGTGTTCCAGTATCTTCATTTTAAATCTGATCAAATGATCCTTTAACAGGACAGAAGTGAGTGTTGTGGGTATTGATACTCTGTGAAAATGCAGTTATGATCTGATATCTTGTTTATGTGAAATACATTGTGTGTGAGAGTCTGACTGCAGACGTACATGGTTAATGTAAAGTACAGTGCAGATCACAGAAGAACGTTTAGTTACATCTGGAACCTTCATTACACTCAACTCAACACAGATAATAACTAATACTAATAAATGCATTTTAAATATTTCGCTGCTGTCGGAAGAAAACCTCATATCTCTGAAATGGTAACTTTACAGGAGAAGGAAAAAACCTACTTTACTTTTAATGTAAGTCAATGGAACCAGACTTTTTGGCTGAATTCTTTTGGTCCATTCATCATGAAATTTACACACAATATAAAGGACAACATGTATAAAAATGTCAAAAATGGAGATATAAGGTTTTCTTCCGACAGCAGCGAAATATTTAATAAATACATTATTTGGCCATTTTTCTACAATGTGAAAATATAATTTATAAATACATTTTGAAAACATTTTTTTCACATGGTTTATCTTGAACCACAAAACTGTACTTGTTCTATATGAATTGCATAAGCCTCCATCTCTGAATGAGTCCCTTCTGTGTTCTTCCCCGCAGCCACAGGACCAAAACCTCCGGGTGTCCCTCGTCCTCCGGGGGCTGGACCTCCTCCCAGGGACCCCTGAACGGCTGGGACATGGCGTCCAGTAGAGACGGCCGCGAATGCTTCATCGAGTGAGTACGCCGCGGGTTCCTGCTTTGCAGCAGCTCTAGTGGGGCTCAGTGTGCAGACAGAATGCTGATGGGTTCCTCCTCAGACTTAACACACGCTCGGCGTACGCGCTCACTTCAGCACATGAAGGAACGCGAGACAGAGAGAGGAATAGAGTGGGAGTGACACCTTCACACAGGGGGGCGCTTTGATCTCCCTGACACTCGAACGCCGCTCGTTCGGAGACTCTGGGGGACGCGGACATTAGCATACATGCACACAAACACGTCACCTTTCCGCAGAATTCACCGCTTTGAATGCTGAATGTGCCTTTCACGCCAGTCGGGTAGATTTGAGGAGTTTTTCATTTCAGAAAAGAAGACGTGTCGGTGCTCAGCGGAGAATTCGGAAGGAGGATCCGTCCTCTCCCCCCAAACACAGATCAAATATTTTATCCAATCAGAATGTGACCAAAATGTGATCCATCATGGAAAAAACATTTGAGTCATTCTACAGAAACGTCCATTTCTGTGTCCCTAGTGTTTACAGATATATTAACATGTTAGGGTTACAATTTATTTATATTTTAAAATAAAACAATAAGTTATTTTAACAATTACACCTTCTTACACCATCAATTTAGCAATATTGGTTTTTAAATCAATTACATAGAATTCCAAGCACCACAGAAGAGCTCATCCTCACAGTCATGTGTGAAGGCTGAGGCCTTATTTTGAGGTAAAAGCATGTTTTTCTGCCATTTTAACTACAATAATCTATACATGACAATGGAATATATAAATTAAACGACATAAAGAAAACAAATGCCAAATAAATATTATAAAATATATAATGAAAGTTGTGGTCCCCAGGAGTCGTGTCACTGGTGTGACTGCATTACAAAAAATCTCTTATTTTGAAATAAAAGTCACACTGATGACATCACTTGACTTCCTTCACTTCACCGAGGTAACTGTAAAAAAAAGAAATATACAAAAGGATTAAATTCCATATTTTAGTGGATGTTCCATGATTAACACCATGTGGTTTGATGCTCTGTAGCACCCATTTTGTAAAATGCATTTTCATTAAAAATGATTTATTATGTGTAACACCAGTGACGATCAGTAACACCAGTGACTCCTATGGAGAGATAGAAAAGTGGACGTTTCTGTAGAATGACCCATATGCACATATATCGTTTCTGTCATTTGTTGTTTTTTACATAATTCGTAAACACCAGCTGATCCTTTACACTGTGTGAAAATTTTACGATTAATGGACCAGCAGAAATGCTCCAAAACTGCAGGGAAAAGATCTTTTTACATTTGAAAATTTGAAAATTCCAGTTACTCTCTGTGTTATGTTAACATTTCTTGATTAACGGACCAACACAAATGCTCCAAAATGACTTAAAAAAAAATCTTGGTACATAATGTTTTGTTCCAACAGAAGCGATATAGCAATACATTGAAATATATGCAAATATGTTGATTAAATATACATATATGTATGTATAATGATATATGTATAATAAACACATGAATTTCTGTGGACTATAGGCGCTTTGAGAGCCAAACAACTGAGATCTGCCAAAAGGGGCAGATTTACTGTTTTGCGGTGTCACAAACTCTCTTTTGGAGTTAAAAAGTGATGTGATTTAAAAAACAGACGCAGTAGATTGTAAGTTTAAAGGGGCGGTCACTGCTCTTTTGCACTTTTGCCTCATTTGCATATCGCTGCACTTGGAATAAAAACTTGTGTCTCTAAAATGGTAACTTTACAGGAGAAGGAAAAAACATACTTTACTTTTTATGTAAATCAGTGGAACCAGAATTTTTCAAAGTATATTTTGGGCGTTTATCATGAAATTCACAGACAATGTAAAGGACAACAGGTACATTCAATTTATTTCTAAAACAGGACGCTGTTGGCTGATTGTTTTTGGTTCTCAGTCCAGCAGTGACACTGAGGTGTTAAAAAACTCCAGCATCACTGCTGTGTCTGATCCACTCAGACCAGCGCAACACACACTAACACACCACCACCACATCAGTGTTACTGCAGTGCTGAGACTAAACCTCCTAAATCCTGTCCTAACTTTAGGATGAACCCCAACAGGGTCCTCACTTCTGTTTAAGGTCCGTTTCTATGGTTTTTAGGCAGCTGAGTCAGCAGCATAGTTCACTACCAGCATAATGAGCTCCATTTATTTCTGCTGTAAAACGCTGCTTTCACTGTGAGATGATTTTCTTTTCTAACTCTGCGTTTTAAAGATCTCAGACGCTGCAGACTCGATCTCCACCGCCCCTCTGATCACCTTCGTGTGTTAATGTTGATGATGAAATATTACAGTGATGGTGGTGAATAATGAGGAGGCGGAGCTGAACGTGTGTCTGTTTATTAGGAGGAGTAACGTTAGCGCGCTCGGCTAAAGCATTTGGGAAATGGAGACTGAAACTGGGGGGTGGCGATGCTCTGATAAACAGCAGGGGGCACTCTTACAGTATTCACAGCTTAAAGTTTATCACTCTTTAGCTTAGTTTGACCTTTTTACATCAGTAACAGCAGCTTAACTCACATTTTTAACATTATTTATTGATGTGTTTACGTTTCAGCCGTGTGTGTATGGTCTGTTGCTAGGAAACAGACATGACAGCTGACTGTTAACATCGAGCAGGTTAAGATCTCCTAACTGGAGATAAGATGCTGTAAGATCAGATAAAATTCCTGATTTAAGATCAGATTTGCTTCAGTAATATGAATTTGTTTAAAATCTTATCTTGACCTGTCAGATCTTCAGACTAATGACAGGAGGTTTCTGTAATGCGGCCCCAGATGCATAATGAGCGTTTTTGATTGGCTGTTTCATGAAACTTGCTCCATTAAGTTAAGATGGCTGCCATTGTTGCGGCTCAGTTTCAAGTGAGTTGCATACGCTTTACCTTATGCGACTTTCACCATGTAAAGCCTAAAGGTGGGCTTCCTCCCTCCCCTCGTACTCCGGCGGTTAAAACCGGGCTGCAAATGTAACAGGTGCGCTCGCGGCGGTCTCGTTTGGAGATTCGTGTTTCTGTGGGAGGAGGACGAGCCTTTGTTTCTCGTGCCGCTTCCTCTGGCAGAATGCATTCTCTCTGCTTCTAAAAATACCACAGAGCAGAGCAGAGCAACGCTGCTCGCACAATTCTGCAAAGCTCCTCCGTGTTGCTCTCATCTCAGGACAGGTCCGGCTCTCTCGGACGGCTCTGTGGCTGCTGCCGTGGCTCGAGGCAGTGGTGTGTCCCGTGCCTTTCCATGTGGTCATGTTGGGGGTGGAGTGGGGTGGATGAATACCTTTTTTTTTTAATTAGCTACCCTATGAAGGGAGGGAGGGGAAGAGGGAGGGAGGGAACTTGTGGCACATGGCATCTGGCCCTCGCTAGCATAAGGGGGCAGCTTACGTAAGAGTGGAGCAGAGCGCTTGACGGATGCTCGGGATGCGGAGGAATGCGTCTCGGGAGAAGGCTCCGGGTCTTTCTGCTTGCGTGGTCGCGTCCCGTTCTCGCTCCGCTGCACGCCAGCCTCGGCCTCACTCTCGCTCGGGTACGTGCACTTCTGACGCTAGAACCACAGCACGGGTTCTCCCAGCAGACAACTTACCTCCTAACAGGCAACTTCTCTTACTATTCTAACTGCAAGTGGCTGTTTCATTAGTTTTTTCTCTACTGAATGATGTCATATTTACATTTGCATTTCTTGAAGCCTCTAGAATTCAGGAATTGTTAATTGTGAAAGAAAAGGAGCTGCAGAAGAGCAGCTGTTGCTTGTTTCTTGTTCATTTTCTCCATTGCACCAATGTTCTCCTTGCATCTGACCAGGTCAAAGCGTGTCCTGCCGTGGCACCAGATCTCAAAATAGAGCAAAGAAAATTGCCACAGCTCGATATAACCGTACCTCGGGCAGTGTTCCGGCGATTCGCTCTCTTTAGAGGGGAATTCTACTGTGTTTTTTCCAAAATGTCTGCAAAAAATTATGCCTTGTCAAGTGAAACAATCCTAAATCTAGCCGATATATCTAATATTTCCTTTTTTGAGATGGCTGTGCACTTATTATAAGATTATCTACCTTATTTCTAGACATTATTTACTTGTTTTAGGTAATTTTATCAAGCAAAATTGTCCCACTGTAGTGGCGGGTAATTTTGCTGGTTTTGAGCACGTCTTAACAGAACCACAATTATCTGCCAACGTAGTGAGATAATTTTACCTAATAAAGTTACTTAAAAAAGTACAAAATGTCTAGAAATAAGGTAAATAATCTTAAATTAAGATGACAACAATTGCACAAGAAGAATTATTAGATTTATTGACTATATTTAAGATAATTTTACTTGACAAGAAATTTTTTTGCAGTGTAATTAAATGCTTAAAACAAAATGGTCTCAATCTGAATTGTTATGAGCCTCTAAAAGCTTCTCCGCAGAAAGTTATTACATGAAATGGTTATGAATTCACTGCCTGATGTCTACGACATTGATTTACGGTAGTTTGGGCCTTAAAATCCGTTCCCGGTGGAGGGATATGTTTAGGGTGTTGTCGTGCAAAGTAGTCCCCCAAAGGAAATGTACTACTATTTTACCATCAATAATGTTTTATAGAAAATGTAAAAGCTCAGAAAGTTCACTGGTGGTTTTGGATAGGAAATAAAAAGGCATATTTGTGGTGACCCCTGGTTCCTATCAGCACCACTGTAAAGAAACCTGAGTTGGTAAGTATCTCTACAGTTCAGACGACTCTGGATGACTTTCCATCTCAACCACTGAATTATGCAGAATAAAATCTGCTTAGTTCCCCTTTAAAAGCCCTGGACGTGATGCCTTTAAGTGTTAATTGTTTAGCCAGGTGAATTATTAACGGGGGGCCGTGCTGCACTGGGAGCTGCTGTGGCCGCTCGTCCGTGTTGGGATGAAAGCTGGTTCTGAATGAGGACCCGTAATCTGCTGCTGAAGAGGGGACGGCTGGCCTGACAGACAGTGTGTGGGTGA